TGAAATCCAGCAGGTTCTAACAGGTACTGGAGAACCGGCAGCAGAAATTTTGAGCAGTTCGGAGAACCAGTAACGGAAATTTTGAGTAGTTCAGAGAACCGGCAAATACCGCCTCTGGCTGGCCCCAGAGTGGGGTGGGAATGGAGATTTTGCAATATCCTTCCCCCCCCCAGGAGTGGGGAGGGAATGGAGATTTTGCAGTATCCTTCCCCCTGGAGTGAGGACAGTTCTGGATGAGAAAATGTGGTTATTTTCTAGATGGAAGGTGTTGCGGCGAAGCGCAAAATTCAGAAATTCAAGCTCTGTAGCACGATCTTCCTGTTGTTCCCCTGTCAGATTGTAAACAGGCTAGTTGGACTCTAAAACAAACATATCTGTCAAAAACAGAGTGTCCTCCTGTTTCTGGAAACTAGCAGCGGAAGGACATGTTGACAGAATGAAGTTTCTGGGCAAACTGTAATTGGATCCAATTCCTTAAGACCCCCGTCCCAGTTTTCGTGGGATAATCAACTCTTCTGAGGGATTTGCACAGCCGGAGTGGTTCGCTTGTCAAAACTGAGCTAAAACGCAGCATCCTTTCCTCTTAGCAGAAACAAGACAATGGCAGGCCTAAAAAAAACCCCTTCATGTATTATCAGCTGCATTGCTGCCAGGGATGGTTGCCTCACTGGTTATCCCATTTTATCCCTACTTTTTATCCGCGTCGGCTCGCAGGGCAAAGGATGACAGTTGCAAGAAACTACAGATCTTGGATAAGTTGTCAAGCCGGTGTCCTTCTGTCCATCCATCCATCCATCCTTAACTTATCTATCCATCCATGTCCATATATTCATCCATCTAACCATCCATCCATCCCTAACTTACCTATCCATCCAACCATCCATCCATCCATCCATCCATCCATCCCTAATTTACCTATCCATCCATGTCTGTCTATATATTCATCCATCCAACCATCCACCCATCCATCCATCTTTATATAGCCCATCCCTTTCTGTGTCCTCCATCCATCCCTAACTTATCTATCCATCCATGTCTATATATTCATCCGTCTAACCATCCATCCATCCCTAACTTACCTATCCATCCATGTCTGTCTATATATTCATCCATCTAACCATCCATCCATCTTTATATAGCCCACCCATTTCTGTGTTATCCATCCATCCATAATTTATCCATCCATCCATCCATCCATCCATCCATCCATCTTTATATCTTTATATAGCCCACCCATTTCTGTGTTATTCAACCATCCATCCATTCATAACTTACCTATCCATCCATGTCGGTCTATATATTCATCCGTCTAACCATCCATCCATCTTTATATAGCCCATCCATTTCTGTGTTATTCATCCATCCATCCCTAACTTACGGTATCTATCCATCCTTGTCTATCTATATATTCATCCATCCATCCATCCATCCATCCATCCATCCATCCATAACTTATCCATCCATCCATCTTTATATCTTTATATAGCCCACCCATTTCTGTGTTATCCATCCATCCATCCATCCATAACTTATCTATCCATCCACGTCTATCTATTCATCCGTCCATCCATCCATCCATCTTTACATAGCCCATCCATTTCTGTCTTATTTATCCTTCTATCCATCCATCCTTAACTTATCTATCTATCCATCGATCCATCCATCCATGTCTGGCTATATATTCATCTTTCTTAAGCATCCATCCATCCATCCATCCATCCATCCATCCATCCATCCACCTACCTACCTCTCTACATCACCCATCCATCCATCCACCCACTTACCTTACCCGCATTCCATCTCTCTCTCCCCCCCCAACCCCTCATCATATCATCTAGTCTTCATTAGAAGTTTTGAAGACCCACCCTACTGCTGAGTCCATATCCTTTCTATGGACCGTCACCGTGAGTGAGTGAATGAGTGGGGCGGCCATCTTAACATTTTGTAAAATAAAAAAAAGAAAGTCAGCTTTGGTGTATGGCCCCCGGAGAACAGCTGAACCACCCCAAAATCTCAAGCTATCCCATCTTCTCGTAAGGCAGCCTTCTCCTCTGAGCGTCCAACCGAGAGGCCATCGCTTCAACCCTTAAAAACACAAGCACGACCGAAACCTTTGAAACCATGGTCCAAAACCTGCTCAGATGCCCCGTAGACATTGGCTACGGTGGACGAGGAAGTCAACAAGCCGGATATCCATGAAACGAAGACATTAGCCGGATCGGCTTGGAAACCGTAGATATGTTTTGCTCGCTAGCTGGTAAATGAAGGTTGATTTGGTCCAGAGCCAAATAATATATTGAAGCAATTTCATGCCTCATGAATTATAGAAGAGAATGTGCGCGCGACGTGGCGTTTTGCAACATGGCTATCCTGGCTCCCTCCCACTCGTTTCCCAAGATGGTTTAATCCTTGTCTGTCAAGAAGGCATCCCGGCTGGGCTCGAAAGCCTCCAGACCCGTTCTTGCAAAAATGGAAGGAATTCCAAATATGAGCCCTCTTTCCCCCTCCTTTTTTTGTCCAATTTGAGTTGATCTGACTCTGTCTCCCACCCACCCCACTTTTTTTCCCCCGAGAAAGCAAAAAAATGCTTTGATCTTAACTCTCCATGGTCATCCCTGCTTGCAGAAAACACAACCTTTTTCCCCCCCCCTGAACTTGGGGCCACCGAAAAGCGTCTCTCTGCAGTGCATTTTAACATTCCTCCCATTGTAAATTGTGTTCTGCTACTTCTTCTTTTTTCTTTCTTTCTTTCCTCCC